CAATCTTTCTCATCTCTCTCTCTATCCTACACCATTTTTTCTCTTCTCAATATTTCTTCGTCTTATTTCTCTTCACGCTCTCGTTTCTTGCTGCGTTATAACAAGAAGGAGCTTAGCCTATTCCATAGCTTTCATATGTGAGGATCTCTCATTAAAAAACTACGCAAGGCGTCCACTTATTCAACTCCAATGATACATATTTTATAAGTATTCTCGGTCTTTTTACCCTCCTAACTAACGGAGATAAGGTCAAAGAAAGTCATTTGTGATTTATAAATATTTAAAATATATTTAGAGTACCACCGGTGTTATTATTAAGCACCATTACTTATAAAATCGAGTCCGTTTGGTTCATGAATTAGAACTATGAGATTATAATTATTTTTTATTTACGTGTGTTTTTTGTGAGATTCGAATCAGATAACGAATTCTCCAACCAAACGGGCTTTAAGCCTATTTGTAGACTTCCCAGAGTTAACATTATATATGTTTAATAATGTTATTTTAATGTCTTATTTATTTAACCGATTTGATTTTAGAATTCGAGTTTTATAATAATAAAAAGCGCTAAGAAACAATCACATCTAACTTTTTTATTACAGTAAAAAACTTTCACATAAAATCACATCTCAACTTAAATTAAAAACTCAAATCAGAAAACTAAACGAAGCCTAAATATTTTCTTAGAGCGCCCGCTTAACGTTGAAAAGCCCTCACTGAAATTCTCTCGCTATCCCTTTCAAGTACCCCAAATTTTGCTACATGTCTTTTGTCTTTTGTTTTTGTGTATGAGAGATCTTGCAACGTGTTTTTTATTTCTTTTGTTTAATAAATCATGCAACATGTTTACGTTTAACTTGCAAAAAATTAACAGCACAAAACATGTGGCGCATAAAAGCGGCAGATAATAAAGTCCAAAATTTGTAACTACCAATGTAGAAGACAAAAACCTTTTTTCTCAAAACCCATATTTTCTCCTAATGTCATAAATATTTCACTTTTTTTTTTCACACGACCCTCTCATATTTAAGGATTTTTCAACAATGCTTGAAAATTTTCTTTTGTTTTCATTTGTATTCGTGGTTTGTAATAACGTGGGTCTTTATCCTGATTTACAGTGTGTCTATAGGGTGAAAAAAGAGAGATAAAATAAAATAGATGAAGATTTTTATAGAGAAAAATATAATTTTAGGTTGTTTAGTAAAGAGAAAATGAGGAACGAAGAAAAATAAAAATCTATAAGACCCACTAATTTTTAATTCTTCTAACTTTGAGAAGAAAAGATGAGGAAAAAAATTGAACAAAAAAATAAGATGTAAAATAACAATTTTAACATTCACCATTCATCATATTTTTATTTGTATTGAGATATTATTATAAAATGCTTTAAATTTAGCATTTTTTTTTCACTTTTCTTTTTCTTCTACCAAACAACATGAGAAAAAACTATTTTACTTTCTTTACCTGAATATTTTACTTCTCTTTCTTTCCTCTTTTCTATTCATCCTACCAAACTAGCATTAGTGATTTGTTTATCTTCTTTATAGTGTTTGGTCGTGTTTTTAATATATTAGATTTGTTTGTTGTGAGTATTTTGTGTGGCCTTAGAGTTCCGTGATTATCTGAAAAAACATTCTTTGTCTTTGGGTAAATGTGAAAACATTGTCTTTGGGTTATTTTTTGAAAGACGAAAGGTCATCTTAAAAAAAAAAAAAAAAAAAAAAAAAAAAAAAAACTATTCAAAGAAGAGAACGTTGCATTTGTTTACCCTATTTTTTTTTAAAAAAATATTACGTAAAAATGTTCCATTTGTTGGTTTGATACATGCCTTCAAATTAATGATAATAAAGATAAGGCAATCATGACGTGGTAACTACCAGTCTAGTGTCTCCCCAGTTAACAACAAGCATGCGCCGTGCCAATAAATTCATGAAGATTATTTGTAAAACGGTGAGTTTATTGACACTTTTTTGTTTTCTGTAAAACGGTGAGATTATTTGTAAAAATATATTCTTAAACTAGCCATATTTTACTTCTTACATCAGTTTTAAAATTTTTAAAAAATCCCTATAATTAAATTACAGAATTCTACTTTTTACACACAATACTTAAACCGCACACATTTTACTTGTTACATCCATCTTAAAATTAAAAACCAAAAACAAAAAATCTCTACAACTAATTGTATTATTTTTTTGTTTTTTGTTTTTAATTCCCACCGATTAAACTTGCCCTTTCTTTTTTCTAATTTTTTTTTTCATACATACGGAATTGAAGTGCCATTTTTTTTTTTTGTGAGAACAGATGGTTAATAAAAATATTGGTTTCCAACATTTTTTAGTCCTTCTAAGATCTTACCGTTTACAGGGTATCCACTTTTTCTTTTTTTTTTTTTTGGTCATGATGCCCTTATCAGAAATTGCTGACAATCATAATAGTATAGCAACGTTACATCTGTTGCTTAAAAAAAAAAAATCAATTCCTTAATTGCTTTTACTTTATCAGAAATTATTGACAACCATAATAATAGATTAATTGATTATATTTGAGCGGATGCAACCAGTGATGAATTATAATCTCTCAGTACACAACTAGTAATAAAATGAGAGGAAGAAACTTTTTCTCTAATTTTTTCTTACAAATCATGATTAATTTTTCAAAATTAATAATATAACCATAAAACATAAACTTTAAGAGAAAAATTTAATCAGGTACGTGTGGAGCTTTAACATTGGAATCCAATCCTATGTCTTTAAAAAAGTAGGATATAAAATTTTTTAGAAGGCGATATATTTATCTCTAATGACACGCTTTGTAATGAGTATTTTTTTTTTAAATTACTATAGCCCTTAACAGTAATTTTATTAATAGGAAATTTAATAATGTTAGCATGTGAAAAGCAAAAAAGAGAATATCAATAGATACATCATTTGTAAAATGGCTCCATTACCCAATTTACAAGTTAATATAAGCATTGGTATCAAATTAGAGAAAAACTCATTCAGGAATAGAGGTTAATATTATTAAGTCCAAAGACTTGGAATGATAAGCAAGCACTTGTTAGGCTCTTTGACAGTTATTGTGTTCAATTCATCTCACGGTTATTTGGTCTTTCAATATATATATATATATATATATATATATAGATTGTAGATATAAATATCTTTATCTTAATTCTAAAAAAGGGGTTCAGAGGCTTTCTTATGATAGAGTTAGTTTCTGATCATTGAATTTAATTAAAATTATATCAAATTAAAAAAGTATAAAGAGCAGGCCATTTTTAATACAATAATAATTTTAGAGTAATTTATTTTCTTCTTTCAAAATCTATTAGAGAAACTCTTTTATTTACATTTACAATGTATAAAAATCTTATTAGTTGTCAAGTGAGAGTAGTCTAATTGGTTGTAAGCTCCTCCACTCTAACCATAAATTGAGAGTTTGACTCACTTTGAACCCCACTTAAAAGTGGTGGCTTTTTTTTTTTTTTACTTGCTTTTGCCTTCCTTCTTTTTTTTTTCTTTTTTTTTTTCACTTTTAACGTTTTTGGCTTTTTTCACTTCTTATTAATTTAGAGCTTTTTTTTTTATTGAAATCCTATTTCTTTTATTTTGTTATTTGAATCATTAAATATATTCTTCTTCTAATTTGTTTCTTATTTTTGACATTCTCAACTACTATTTTACTCATAAGTATTGTCTCTCTGGTTTATTCATGTTTTTTTTTTTTTTTCTAAATGTGTTTCTATTAAAAAAATATTAGTGTAATCATCTCATTACTCATAATTATTGTTTCTCTAGTTTATTCATGTTGATTTTTTTTTCTAAATGTGTTTCTATTAAAAAAAATTAGTGTAATCATCTCAACTACTATTTTCTTATAATACTTCATAAGTAATTATTCTCAAATAAGTCCCTTTTTGAATTATCTTTCTTTCATTTTTACTCATTATTTTTAATCAATATCTTTTTAACTAATATAATTATTTAACAAAAAATGTTCATTAAGAGTAATGAGTAAAAGTTTTAATAATTCATTCTAAAATAAACGCACCCCTTCTCACTAGTACTAAAAAAGCATCAATTAGTGGGCACCTGCAATTCATTCAATTTAAATAGGATAAATTGGACTTTTTCTTTAATTTTTTTTAAAAGTGGTTCTATTCACACCATCTTTTTTACTCTCCACACTCCATCTAATTTACAAACTCTATATAAATTTTAAATAATTATTCTTTTTACACACTCATATTATTTCAAAATTACCCCTAATTATTTTTTTATAAAGTGATTAAGGATGGTTTTGGTTCACCCCCTATTTTCTCTCCACACTCAATCACCTCTTTATTCTCCGCACATCTTCTTATTGCACACTCCACATAGATTAATTTATTACTTCCGTTCGGTTCGTTAATTTGAGTTTTTAATTCGAGTTGAGATGTGATGTTGTGTGAGAACTTTTTACTGTAGTAAAAAAGCTAGATGTGACTGTTTTCTGAGAGCTTTTTACTGTAGCAAAACTCGAATCAGCCAAATAAATGAGACCATCTTTTAGTTATATCTTTTTATTTTTTTGGTTCAAACTTTAGGCGTAGCAAATAAATATGACACAAAATGGAAAACAAAAGGTAGAAAAAAATCTTCATACAACAAATAGTAAAGAAAATTAAACACAGCTCCATGTGATTTTTAGAATAGTTATTAAAAAGTGAAAATATGGATTTTTGAAATAAAAATAGTTTATAATTTGAGAATGCGGTGTGTGCAGAGAGAAAAAACTTCTATTCATTTTTTTTATAATAAAATTTAATTACATAATTAAATTACTGTCTTTTTTTATCACTTTATTTATGGCTAAATTTTTAATTGAGGGGTGTGAATTGTGAAGAGTAAAAAAGAAGGTGTGAATACACCACTCGAGGACAAATTGGACTCAGACTCGAAAACCAAAACCGAAATTTCCACGTTGTACTTAAAAGGAAGTATAATGTGAATGTCAAAAACAAAAAAAAACAAAAAAAACCAAAAAAAAAATCCCAACTCTTTTTTCTTTCTTCACTTCACGGCGATCTCTCTTTCTATTTATAACTCCAACTCCGACCAAAGCCGTACTTCTCTTCTTTTGTCGCAAAATCACGGAATGGACGACAATTCAGCTCTAATTGAAGCTCTTCTCAGAGAAGACGAGGAAAGGGCAGCAGCGAAGAAAACAAAAAACGACGACGTTTACGGATGGCAAACGGTGTCGTATCACAAGAAAAACAGGAAGCCCTCCCGCGACGCTGCCGCTGCTAATGCCGTTAATGGCAGCCATCCCAACGGTGATGATGTCTTCCGGTCGATCGGGCAGCAGTCGGATGACCGGCGCCGGAGGGTTGAGGACGCTCAGATTGCTGCCTCCGCGGACTCCGCCGGCGCAGGATCGAAGCGGCATTCCGACGACAGCGACGAGGAGGTTCCCGCCGCTCAGAATGGGGCCGAGGAGGCCAAGAAGACGAAGCCGAAGAAGCCGAAGAAGCCAAAGGTGTCCGTGGCGGAGGCGGCGTCCAAGATCGACGTGGATGATCTTGGAGCTTTTCTCGCTGATATTACCGTGAGTAATTTCGATAATTATTATTTTTTGTTTTTGCCGATACGGTTTGATTTTTGTTTCAATGGATCGTTGGCTGACTTTAGTAAATTGTTTCTTTTTCTTACAAAAATTTCGTTTCATTGAATTTTTAGGATTCTTATGAATCGAGACAAGATATTCAACTCATGCGTTTCGCGGATTATTTCGGTCGAGCCTTCGCCGGTGTTAGTGCGGCTCAATTTCCTTGGTTGAAGACGTTCAAGGAGTCCAATGTTACCAAACTGGTTGATGTGAGTTTTCGTTTTTATTGTTTTTATTTTATTATTTTTTTTGTGCGTAAAGGGATTCGCTTTTAGCACTGAAATTTGGTGTTTCAATTGGAGAACAACCTTTTGTCAAATGCATGATTCATAGTTGCTGGGTACTACATGTGACATGCGTGCATTGTTGTCGTTGGAATTTCAGCAGCACTTTTTTTTTTTTTTTTTTTTTTTGGAATTCTAATTAGATTTTGCTATGCTGACTATTCTCATAAAATGACTTTGAGATTGAATGCATCTAGTGATGAATATATTGTTCTGTTCTGCTCGAGTGATTTTAACTTAACAGCCTTCTTAAAATCATTACATTCACATAAAAAGGGAAAAAATGATTTTTTTTGAAGCTTTCCTAACATTACTGTTATTCTGTTGGTTGCAAAAGCAGATTCCTCTTTCTCATATATCTGAGAAAGTGTACAAGACATCGATTGATTGGATCGGCCAGCGATCTTCTGATGCCCTTCTGTACTTTATGAGATGGTCATTGGACAGCGTTCTTGATGACCTTGCAATTCATCAAGGAGTTGCCAAGGGATCCAAAAAGGTAGCCCAACAAGCGCCATCAAAGTCTCAGGTAAGTTTCAGTCATATGCTTCGTGTTTACTGTATGCTACTAAATTTGTGAGAACGTCTAATGTTTTTGGGGATTCTTTATGGTGGAACCCCAATAAGTGCTCCGCTGGTGGAGCACTGCTTTTTTAACCGTTAGATTACTTTTTCAACCGTCAGATTTACAACAAGAGCGATTCTGTGCGGTGCGATGTAAATTTTAGACCTTAAAAAACTAATCTAACGGTTAAAAAAGCAGTGTTCCACCAGTGGAGCACTTATTGGGGTTCCACCATAAAGAATCCCGTGTTTTTGTTTATGAAAGTGAGATGCAATTTTTAAGTGTATATTTGAAACTATCGATCAAAAACTGTATTCGTCGGTTCCCGAAACTTAATGGATTTGGACAAAAGTTTTATATTTGGAAGTAGGGGCGATGTCTGTAATGGCAAAACTGGTCGTATTTTCTTTTCCTGCTAATTTTGCAAAAACGAACTCATCCATGTACACGACCCTTTCGGAGCAACATAACAAGCATGCTGCGCCATTAGGAATAGTAAGTGTTCATGTTTTTATCCATGGGATGGAATTTGGAGCTAATTGATATTGAAGATGTAGATTTATATTAAACTTTTTAAAGGTTCAGATCTTGTATTTTGACTTTATAAAGCATTATGTCCCAGTCACACTTCAAATTCTCAAACTTAATGGCACTAGTAGGAATAGAAGTCCTCTATATTAGTACCCGGAATGAGGGGATAATTTTCCTTCAAGTCGTTGCATGTTGGTTACTTTTGAATGTCTGACTCTTCCTTTGAGATTTATGTCTCTTTAATTTGGGTAATATGACTATTTTGATATAACCATGTTGCTGCAGGTTGCCATGTTTGTGGTCTTAGCAATGTTGTTGCGCCGGAAGCCTGATGTATTAATCAGCTTCCTTCCCAAGATGAAGGAAAGTCCAAAATACCAAGGACAAGATAAGCTTCCACTGACTGTGTGGTTGATTTCTCAGGTAACTATCAACACTATTATCACTTTCAAATGTTTGGATGCACACGGGCTTTGGTTTTTCTCTCTGTTTTTTTTTTTGGAGATATTAATTATGAGCACGGGATTTAAGGTAGGACTAAAACTGAATACATGCATTGTAGGTTTAGTAACTCAAGTAATCAGAGTAATGGAATTTCTTTATATAGTGTGGAGATTGGGGCTTCTAAGAAGTTTAGGTACCTTGGGCTATAGTGCAGTACGAAGGAGATATAGGCTTAGTTTGATAGTGCTGTAGATTTTGAAAAAATTACTTTTAACTGTGCTAAAGGAAGAAGCAGCTGTTACAAAAAGCAACAGAGTGTTTGGTAAACTATAATTATAGTAGCTGTGCTAGTTTTAAAATCAGCGTAATAGCGTTTGGTAAATTATGAGGTTGAATTGTTGTGGATAGTTAAAAATTACGACTATATTATATTATAATATAATATATATTTATTATTATATTTAATATAATAAAAAATATTATTATGTAATATATTATATAATTATAATATAAAATATAATAATATTATTAAAATAGTAACTGAAATAATTAAAATAATGATTATATTATATTATATTATAATATAATGTATATTTATTATTATATGTAATATAATACAATAAAATTATTATTAAATAACATATTATATAAT